GTCTTAATTGCCCCTTGCCCGTAATATTGACAAAAGGTTTGGTGGTTAATTGTCTTATTTTAGGACAGTTTGCAGAAGTCATTTCTGTGTGGTCCTGTCTAAGCTGCAGAACAGGATGTCAGTGCAGTTTTCTTTTAGCTGTCCTGACTCCATATTTCCTTGTAGGGGACCCCAGCCCCGACTACCTCACTGTCCAACTAACCCCTATCACCATGGACCAGTGGCCTCAAGTGGCCCAACTGAGGCCCCGCCCAGCTCCTGCAGGTTGTCACATTGATGCTGCTGCATTAACTCTGAAGCCCAGAGATTCTGCAGAAACCTGACCACAGTGAAATCGGCAAACACCGAAAACCAGAGAGAAGACTGAGTACTGGACCCCTCTCCATCTCCTCACTCCCATGGCCTGATTTCCCGTCCTGCTGCCCTTAAGGAGGGCAGCAGAGAGTTCTTCAGGGCAGCCTCGCACTGCGGGGCCACGTGGGAGGGAGGCTATGTGCCCCAAAATGCGGCAGACCCTCTCTGTTCACTTCAAATGCCGCCTATATCACCAGCAGTTCCAGAATGTCTGGAGCTTTCTTCCCAGGGCTATAGATTCTCTTACCCAGGTGTTCACCCCGCTTCTCCACTCGGAAGCCACGCAGGCTGCACAAATGTAGTCAGTGGTCTTACCCCCAGGCTGGCTCCTCCTACCTTACCAAAGGGCAATCAACCCCTAACAGCTCATTTCAGAAATCTGAGAATCATCTCTAATACCTCTCTCTATCTTGCCCTTGCCAATTCCTGATAAAGATGAAATTCTATAGAGTTTACTTCCAAAATTCCTCTCCAATCTACCCCCTGTTCTCCATATCACTACATCTCCTCCAACCTGTCCCAGCCACCATTGTCATCAGCCAGTGGCCTAATCACCAGGATCCTGTCTCATCCTCCTCCCAGCCCATTGTTCACCAGTGATGTTTTTGATAAGTTGCTTCATCTTTCTGCTTAAACTCCCCAGTACTTCCCACTATTTTCAGGATAAAACCCACTGATCCTCCCGTACCCCACTGGAGGAACCACCCCCCACCCCTAGCCTCATCTGGAGCCACACGTGGCCTAACACAGCAGCCTCCATCTTCCACATAGGACCAGGCTCCCCTTAGCTCTAGAGTGGTCACGCAGGCCAGAACATCCCTCTTCCTCCCTAGGACTGAGTTATAAAGTCACTACTTGACGCGGGTCTTCCTTCCAAGACTGGGTCAGGTCCCCTCACCCCACTTCTCTTCCATGGCATTGTCACAGTTATAATTAAAGACTCACTTGCATAAGATCTATCATCACACTGTAACTTCATGAAGGCAGAGGCCTCTTCTGGCTTACTTCACTCCTCTGATTATAGGCCCTATACAATGCCTGGCAGAGAGCAGAAACTCAGACAATGTGGGTGAACCCTAACATGAAGAATACCAAGGACCACCAAGGACCATCACAGACACATCCATTTGACTTTCTACATTCATTTCTGGTGGAGATTACACCTCTGTTTCACAGATGATCACACTGACTTCTATTGAACTTACATGATTTACCCAAGGGTGTGAAGATAGCAAGTATCAGGGTTTATTATTTTTTTTAAGATTTTGTTTATTTATTCATGAGAGACACACAGAGAGAGGCAGAGACATAGGCAGAGGGAGAAGCAGGCTCTCCACTTGGAGCCCCATGTGAGACCTGATCCCAGACCCCGAGATCACGCCTTGAGCCGAAGGCAGCAGACGCTTAACCTCTGAGCCACCCAGGCATCCCGCAAGTATCAGGATTAAAGGCAGAACTCCAAAATCAACTTGGTAATATTTTCCTGAAAATGTCCTTGAGGCACAAAAATCCCTTGCTGTGGCCCAGTTGTCCCCTCCACTTTCACCTCTGCCGCCTTTCTGTTCTTCACTCTGTCCTTTGTTATTTTTTTTTAAGATTTTATTTATTTAGTCATAGAGACAGAGAGAGAGAGAGGCAGAGACACAGGCAGAGGGAGAAGCAGGCTCCACGCAGGGAGCCTGACCTGGGGCTCAATCCCAGGTCTCCAGGATCACGCCCTGGGCTGCAGGCGGCGCTAAACCGCTGTGCCACCGGGGCTGCCCTGTTCTTTGTTACTTTCTTCAGTATTCTGTTCACACAAGCACGTCGTAAATCCCTACATGTCAGTAGCAGTGGACCACGGGATGAAAAGGTGACTAAGACCAAGTTCTTTACCTGAAGGATACTACAGTTTGTTAGGGGGATTAACTACTTCAGCTCTCCAACCTTGAATTTGTTGGAACTGCTTCAGTTGTTAGCTACGTAAACTCAACTAAAACGGGCCTCAGCAGGAAAAGGAACCCAATGGCTCACGTAAACTGCAAAGTCCAAATGTAGTTAGGCTTCAGGCATGTTGTATCCAGGGACTTAGTGTCCTCATGATGCAGTCACTCTCTGCCTTCATCCCTTGGGTCTTCTTTTCTGTGCTGATTTTATTCTTGACCAGGCTCTCTCCACTTGGTGACAAAGATGGCCCCAGACAGCTCCCGGGTTCCCACAGTTCTTAGTACCTGCTGTCTCAGAAAGAGGCAGACTCTGCCAGGAGCTGGGGGTGATGCTTCTCAGCCCACCTTGGGTCATGAGCCTCTCCTTGAACCAATCACGGTGGCCTAGGAAATGGAATATTCTAGGGACAGCACACCCGTTTAGAGCTGGAGAAGAATCAGTATCACACAAACCACATGATCCCGATAGGGAAGAAAAATAGTTCTCCAAAAGGAAACTGGCATGCCATTACAGAAAGCAGAAAATCAGAGATTCACAACACCCTTGCTCTTGGCCTCTTGCCCTCACCCACTCCTCTCCTGGGCCCTTCTCATTCCACTTTGTTCCTGTCTTACAGGCATTGTACTCGCTGACCTGTGCTAAGAAGCCCTATCCTCCAGATCTTTCCATGACTGGTTCTTAAGCTTCCGATCTCTTCTCTAATGCCACTGTCTCCAAGAGGCCTTCTCAGATCCCCCTGAAGCAACTCATTAATTCTCTCACACTTCTTTTTTTTTTTATTTGCTGGATCTGAAGGAGCAGTTAAGCAATTATTATTTTGTTTACTCTGTGTTTTGCTCTCATCAGAATGTAAACTCTGTGCAATCAAGGGGGTTCCCATCTATTTTGTTCACTTGTTGCATCTACACAGTTCAGAACAGTGCCTGACACCAAACAGTGCTCAGTAAATATTGGTTGGATAAACGAAAAGAATCTAGTGGCATCTAGTGAGAGACCAAGGAGAGCTTCCTGGAAGAGGTGACCCTTAAAGAGAATGAATAATTTTTATTGTCTTAAATACATAAAACAGGGCAGCCCGGGTGGCTCAGTGGTTTAGTGCCACCTTCAGCCCAGGACCTGATTCTGGAGACCCAGAATCGAGTCCCACATTGGAGCCTGCTTCGCCCTCTGCCTGTGTCTCTGCCTCTGTGCGTGCGTGTGTGTGTGTGTGTGTGTGTGTGTGTGTGTGATGAATAAATAAATAAAATCTTTTTTTAAAAGGTATGAAAGCCTAAAGGTGTGAAAGAGGGTGAAATTTTGACGGAGGAGGGACAAGCCAGCTTTTCAGGCAACAGCACCCTGGAGGGGCCATGGTATGCAGTGGATGGATTCGCACACGATCTGATGTGCGAAAAGCCATGTGGGGTTCTGTTTACCTCCCTCTCCTGGAAATGACTGATTCTGTAGAGTATTGGGTAGCCAGGGTCTCCCCGGTACCTTCTAATGCTGCTGCCAGAGTTCACATGGGATCAGGCCTTCTGGAACACCAGCGGCTTGCCGTGGGAGGGTGAGCCAGGAACAGAGGAATTGACACCCAAGAGGTTAGCCAATCACCCATCACAATGACCAGGGACTATGACCAAAGCAACCTGCATTACATAGGTGGGGGTTCATCTCAAAGACAGGTGTGGCAGTGGGACACAGTGGCAGCGCTCTTCATGCAGCAGGGGCACCTGGAGTTGCAGGGGCAGGAGCATCATCGTCCCCCTGAGAGAAGGAGTGGTAGGTGCTGTTTACACCGAAGCTGGCCCCCAGCCCCAGGAAAGGAGCTGTCTGTGCACAAAAATAATGGGACATGGGGACTATTTGAGGTCTGGCAAAACCACCGTGCTGAGCCACAGCCTACTGAATGGAGTGAGGCTCAGGGACCTGTTCCGCGGGACTGAAGCAGAGTACCCATCAAGAACCTAGGGGTCTGTGCACACTGGATAGGATGAGCTCAGATTGCTCCCCTGTGCCCAGCTGTAAGGCTCCCCACTAGGACTTCAGGGCTGGGGGCAGCGAGGGGCAGGATTGGACCTATCTGCTGCTCTTGTTCAACAGGGAATGCAGAGCCCTGCAACTTTCTTCAACCTGGTTATCCCCAATCCCTGCTAGAAAACATGATTTGTGTTTCTGAATCAGGCAGGGCACCTCTAAGTCCTGGGTCTGCAGCCTGCTTCCTCAGGCCAGACCAGAGCCCCGATTCGGTGGGACCATCCTGGCTCTGGGAGCCCGTTCTGTGTTTATCTTTGTGACTGGCATTAGTGACATTATGCTGATGGCTTGAAATAGGCCAAGATCAGAGCATTTACACCTAAGGAACTGGTAAATGCTATCAAGAGTGTTTATTCATTTTCCTAAAAAAAAAAAAAAAAAAAAAAGTGGTTGTTAAAGATTTTACCAGCACACTAACTGCCCTGCTTGAGAGGTGAATCTGATGTTCTCATCAGCTCTGATTCCTGCTGGGCCTTCTCCTGCCCCTTTGTCCCAGGACCCCTGTCCACCTGCCCATTTATCCTTGCTGCTGCCATTAACCCTTGGATGACTGTATAATGTGCAGGGTGGCCCTAGGAGGATTGGGTTGGTTGTGCTTGGTGGCACAGCTTTGGGGATGATGGCAGTTTTCCCCGACCTTTCCTGATTAGAGACCTGTGGCAGAAGCAGGGCTAACCAACTTGTCTGTGTCTAGGTTATCTGCTATGGCAGGTGTGGTGTACCCCAGACAGGTGAGTATTGTGGATTTCTGTCCCCTGTGACCACCGCAACATTGAGCAGCTTTAGCAAACAGGCCCTGGCATCTTGGGGCTCCTTCTGGTCGTCATTCTGGAATGGTGTGTGTGTGTGTGTGTGTGTGTGTGTGTGTGTGTGTGAGGAGGGATGCCGGGGTGGCTCAGCCATTAAGCATCTGCCTTTGGCTCAGGGCATGATCCTGGAGGCCCCTGGATGAGTCTCACATCGGGCTCCCTGCATGGAGCTTGCTTCTCCCTCTGCCTATGTTTCTGCCTCTCTGTGTGTGTGTTTCTCATGAATAAATAAATAAAATATTTTTTTTAAATAGGCAGAGGAAAGTAAGGATTTACAATTTTCTGGGAGTTCATTTATGTATTCAGCATGCATTTATTAGCACCCTCAGTGTGTCAGGCTCCATGCTAGGCTTTGAGGCTGCAGAGATGAAAAAGATTAGGTCCTAATCTAGTATACTTCATTTAGTCAATTACAATTACCATAGTAAGTGCTGTAATGAGAGATGCTAAATGTGCTACAAAAGCAGAGGAGAAAGAGTTCAATTTGGGGGGTGGTAAGGAATAAAAGTGTGGGATAGCTGTTTTGGGAGAGAAATTTCATCCGGGTTTTGGAGGCTATGTAGGAGTTTGCCAGGACTTGAGGAATACAACTAGCATTTCCAGCAGGAGATAAGAGCATGTGCACCTGTGAAAAGTGGAAAGTAGTAAGGTTGGAGAACAGAAGGCATGGAGGGAAGCCAAGCAGGGCAAGATGGTAAAGGTCAGTAGAAGCCAGATGATAAAGGCTCCGAATGCCAGTCTCAAAACTTGGTCTTGGTCCTATAGACAATGAGAAGCCATTGAATGCTTTTGGGTGGAAGAATAGCAGGATGGGATCTCCTGTCTTATACTCTCCCTTGCCCTGCAGGCCCCTGTGGATTTAGACATATACCAAAGCTCCTACATGGTTGACTATCAACCCTACGGGAAGGACAAATACTCCAGGGTCACACCACAAGAGGTAAGAAGTCACCCAATCTTATCTTCTGTTCAATGGCCCACTGAAATTATCTTTACTTCATTTTTATTATGTGTGGATATTGGGGGCACTGATTTAGAACAATATCTGTTGCCAGGATATCTAAAGAAGTCTTTTATGGGTATGCTTTGGGTATATGTTTTAAAATGTACATCAATGCTAAGTCATGCACATGAGAGGTAAATAATATACATTCACAGTTTAAATACCATTGACAAAACAAACACTAGTATACCCATTATCAGCCAGCTGAAAACCGCACATTAGTAGTCCCCTAGATGGGACCCCTGGGTGGCTCAGCAGTTGGGTGTCTGCCTTTGGCTCAGGGCATGATCTGGGAATCCCAGGATCGAGTCCCGCGTCGGGCTCCTGCATGGAGCCTGCTTCTCCCTCTGCTCGTGTCTCTGCCACCCTCTCTCTATGTCTCTCATGAATAAATAAATAAAATCTTAAAAAAAAAAAAAGAAGTCCTCTAGAGCTGCCGCGGCCCTTCCCTTTTCCCACCTCCCGAGGTAGCCACTATACTGACTTTTGCATTAATCATTCCCTTGTGTGTCTTTTAAAAAATCACTTAAATCTGTATGTATGTATCTCTTTAAACAAATATTGAGGTTTGCCTTTGAGCTCTATTATATACTGGATCATACTATTTGTACTTTTCTGTGACTTTTACTTTTTGCTGAACATTATATTACACATAATACATTATTCATTTTCTGCTGTGTAGTATCACATTGCATGAATGTGCCACCATACATTTGTCCCCTCTCCTGTTGGACATCAGAGTTTTTACTTTTTTGCTGCTCCTCCCACTGCCCCATGCCGCAAGGCAGGTTGCACAGCCCAAGGCTCAAGAGTCCACCGCCCCAGGAAGGGCAATTGCCTGTCACAGGGAACATCCCTATTTGTCAAAGTGGCTGTGTCGATGCAGTAGAGGCAGCCTGTTCTGTAGTTCTCCAACCTTGCTGCCAACTCAGTATTAAAAGCCTTTCCAATTTTGACACATTTGGTGGGTTTGAAATGATATTTTTCTTGTGCTCATAATTCTCATTTCACTGCTTATTAATGAGGTTCAGCATCTTTTTGTATGCTTACGGATATTTATTGTTCTGTGAGATATCATGTCTTTTGCCCATTTTTTTTTTAATTGGGATGATGCTTGTCTTTTTCTTCTTAATTTGTAGGAGTTCTTTAAATATTCTGGACATGTTCCATTTGTCAGTTATACATGTGGCAACACTCTTTCCGTGAATGGAAATTTTCACTTTAACATAGTCAGCTGTTGCCTTCTTTCCCTTTATCAGGTGTTCTTCTTAAGCCTCGTTCAAAAAATCCTTTCCTGTCTCCTGATAACTCCTTTGAAAATAAGAAGAAAATCTGTACAAAAATGGAACAATTTCTGGAATATATTATTTAGTGGAAACAAAATGCAGAGCGGGATTATAACACACATCATTTGTGTACAAATTGAGGTGTGTGAAAGAGGGGTGAGAAAGAGACTTCTTTTTCACTAGAAACCCTTTTCTATTATTTCAGTATTTCCCTGGGTCATAGTATATATCACCATTCAAAACCCAATTTTATTTTATTTATTTATTTATTTATTTATTTATTTATTTATTTATTTATTGATTGATTTTATTTATTTATTCATGAGAGACACAGAGAGAGAGGCAGAGATACAGGCAGAGGGAGAAGCAGGCTCCATGCAGGGAGCCCAACGTGGGTCTCGATCCCGGGACTCCAGGATCACACCCTGGGCCAAAGGCAGGTGCTAAAACCACTGAGCCACCCAGGGATCTCCTAATTTTTTTTTTTTTTTTTTAAATAAAGAGAAGTGTGCTCTGTCTCGGATGAGGCCAAGGAAGCTTCACCTCTCACCTCTCTCAGCCCTCCATGCATGTGATTTATTTCACAGCAGGTGAAGCTGGATGCCCAACTCCGGGACAAAGAATTGTATAGGCCCATCCCCAGCTCCAAGCCCAAGCTAGAGGATGGGTACCCCGCCTTCAAAACACTCCACATGACCGCCAGAGACCTGGGGCAGCCTGGCTTCTTCCCCCCGCAGGACCATGGGACCGCAGCAGAGGACGAATGCAGGTTCACCAGCATCTGCCATTCCGTGTACCCCGCTTCCCACACCCTGTACCTGGCCCAAGGTGATCCCAACCGGGGCCGCCAGAGCACCAGCTTTCCATGCCTCCTGGAGCCTGAGCGCCAGCCTGCGGCGGAGGTGGGCAAAGGCTACTTTCTACTGCCTGGCTGTCTCTGTCCTTATCACCACAAAGTCAAGTTCCCCATCTTGAACCGATGGGGCCCCTTGATGCCATTTTACCAGTAGGAAGGGCAAGAGCCCCTTCGGGGGTGCCGTGGCAATCCTCCCTCTTCCAAGGAAGCCCCCCCCCCCCCGCCGTGGCCCTGGGAGAACTGAAAATAAAACCCTGCAAAGGTGTCACCTTGTTAGCTGGCCAGCCCTGGGACGGCATCCCCACCGTGGCACCACTTGCAGAAGGAGGGGGAAGGGGGGAAAGTTGGTGCATGGAGCCTGGATTTGGGTAACACCTCATTACAACGAAGAGCCGTGGTGAAAAGGTTCTTGCTGTTTTAGACATTTTCTTACAAAGTGGGAAAAATCGTGCTTCCCGTAGTTGTCTACACGTTGAGTGTGATTGTAAAATACTGCTGGGTCACTTTCCCTCGGTACGCTTAGTTTGCTCACCGCCCCCACCCCTTAATGATCAGTGTAACCATTTCCAGGGCCTCATTTTATACTTTCCTTCTTGGTCAGTGGAGCTTTTTGTAAACATATACCTGTGTGAGTCGGTGAGGAAGCCAGTGAAGCCACCGAACAAAGAGCTGAAGAGCCGTGGCTTGAACAACATACTAGCTTCTCCCCGGTCTAAGAGTTCAAAGGGAGGCCAATGAGCAGGGCAGGGCATCACTGCTCTGCCCCCATCTCTGGGTCGAAGGTGGCTGCCATAGACTAAATTGTGTCCCTCTCCAAATTCATAGGTTGAAGCCCTAACCTCTCATGTAACTGTATTTGGAGATAGGGCCTTTAGGAAGTAATTAAGGTCAAATGAGGTCATAAGAGTGCGAGCCTGTTCTGAAAGGATTGGCAGCCTTCGGAAAAGAGGAAGAGGAAGAGAGCTCTCTCTCTCTCTCTCAGCATACACACACACACACAGACACACACACACTCTAAGGAAAAGCCATGAGAGGACAGACATAGCAGGGAAGGCAGCCATCTGCAAACCAGGAAGAGAAGCCACTCTAGAGACCACCTCTGTCAGACATTGATCTCAGACTTCCAGCCGCCAGAAGTATGGGAAAATAAATTTCTGTTGTTGAAATAAAATTCTGTTGTCCTGTGATATTTTGTAATGGTAGCCCCCAAGCTAAGACAGTGATCATTCAGGTATTGACATTTTCCTGTTAGCAGAAAGTGAGAAATACCCAGAGGGCCACAAGGCAGAAATGATATTCTTCACTTCCAATCCTGTCCTCTTGGCCAGAGTTCAGCTCATGGTCCCATCAAACTGCAAGGCAGGCTGGGAGATCTACCTATATCCTGGGTGGCCATATGCCCAGCAAAAAATGAGAAGTTAGTAGAATAGAAGGAGAGGATTATTTGGATGGATGACTATCCATTTTTGCCACAACACATGAGAAGGCTTTCCCATTGGAATCACCTTATACATCAGTGCTTCCCTAGGGGATCTTGTTAAAATGGAAATTGGGAGTTGGTTGGCCTTGGGTGAGGGCAAGATTCTGCATTTGCAACAAGCTCTCAGGTGTGCGGTGCTAGACAGGAGACCATACCTGAGTAATGAGGGTCTACACAATACTCTGTGTCTTCCTTTTCTCTCAAGTCATTATTTATGGGTCTAGTTATTTTTTTTTAAGATTCTTTTTTTTTTTAATTTTTATTTTTTTATGATAGTCACACAGAGAGAGAGGGAGAGGCAGAGACACAGGCAGAAGCAGGCTCCATGCACCGGGAGCCCGACGTGGGATTCGATCCCGGGTCTCCAGGATCGCGCCCTGGGCCAAAGGCAGGCGCCAAACCACTGCGCCACCCAGGGATCCCCCCGGGTCTAGTTATTTTTAATGGCTGCCCAATATTCTATTGAATTGATGGATCTTGATTTATTAAACTGCTTCCTTATTGGGGGGCAGTCATGCTTTTCCAATTCGCTTCCTACAAATTATGCAGCAATAACAATTCCTGAACACATATCCTTACAAATGATGCTTTTATTTTTCCTGTAAGACAGAGTCTCACAAGTGCTGGGTTTGTGCTGGGTGGGGTGGGTGTATGGTGTTAACAGATACCACCAGAACGGTCCCCTTCCTCCCAGCCCCCTTATTCCCATCTCTTCACCAGCGTATGGATATTAGCAATCTTTTTTATTTTTGCCAATCTAATGAATAGTAAATGGTATCTTATCATGCCTTTAATTTGCAATTACTTGGCCACTAGTGAGATACAGGATCTATTTTATATCATTAGCCATTGGGCTTCCGAGTCACATCTTTTGTCCTGAATTATCTTTTTCCTTATCAACTTATAGGAGTTTTTATGCACATTGCCCACGTTAGCCCGTTATCTAGCACATGTTCCAAGCATGTTCGGTCTTAACTTTTAAATATACAATTTTAAATATGTAATCTGAACATATTTTTTTCTAACATAAAATTAATACCTTCAGTAGAAAATGTTGCAATGTGAAGAAAGGTGTGAAGGAGAAAAAGAAATCACCTCTAATCCCACTGCTCAGTCAGTGACAACTACTGTTAACATTTTGATGCCCAGGGCGGCAGATAATGGTTAGATCCTTGGGCTGTTGAGCCAGACAAATCTCAATTCACCTCTGAGTTTACTCTGTGCAGCTGAAGGGTATTCTGGAAAGTTATTTCATGTCTCTGAACAGCAATGTGCTCACCAGTAAGAGGCATTAATTAATTAATTAATTAATTAATTCCTACCTTCTGAGTAAATTTGCACAGCATCTGAGATAAAGTCAGTGTTCAGAGAGACCTTTTATAGACATTTTTACAAATCTCATTACTGAATACATAATTTTAAATCCTGCTTGGTCTTCATTGTACTAACTATAAGCATTGCTTCTCAACCTTAAAACTTTATAAATATCCTTGCACGAACATACCATAATTACTAATGTTAAACATTCAAGTTGTTTCCAGTTATGTATTTTTCTCTACAAAATAATATTTTTTTCTGGAATTAGGTAGAAAAAGAAACGAAATTACTGTGTCAAAGTGTATGGATATATTCTCAGTGAGTATTACCAAGCTGCTTTCTTTTTATTTATTTATTTATTTATGATAGTCACACAGAATGAGAGAGAGAGGCAGAGACATAGGCAGAGGGAGAAGCAGGCTCCATGCACCGGGAGCCTGACGTGGGATTCAATCCCGGGTCTCCAGGATCGCGCCCTGGGCCAAAGGCAGGCGCTAAACCACTGCGCCACCCAGGGATCCCCCAAGCTGCTTTCTAAACAGGTGTGTCTTTAATATTAAGGAATCACATGTGTTAGGTGCCATGGTCGCATTGTGGTTATGTTAGAGAGATTTCATTTGGAAATATTTACAGAAGAGTTTATTTATTTATTTATTTATTTATTTATTTATTTATTTATTTATTTTGAAGTTTACTTTAAAATGCTATAACAAGGGCACCTGGGTAGCTCAGTCCGTTGAGCGGTTGAGCATATGGCTTGGGCTCAGATCATGATCCCAGAGACCTGGGATCAAACCCTGAAAGGTGGGAGGGGGCTCCTTGATCAGCAGGGAGTCTCCTTCTCCCTTGCCTTCTGCCCCTCCTCCCTGCTTGTGTGTTCTCTCTCTCAATTAAATAAATAAAATCTTTTTAAAAAAAATGCTGTAACAAAGCAGTTTTATAAGAACAAGGGAATAAATAAAACAAGATCAGCGACAAAATAAAAGCTGTAGCTGATGATGGATGCTCAGAAGTCCATTGTCCTATTCTCTCCACTTTTGTGTGCATTTGAAATTTCCCATCACAGACATTAAAAACAGGAGGAAATGAGGAAGGGAGGGAAGGGAAGGAAGGGAGAAAAAAAGAAAGATGCACTCCTTTAGACTATTGCTAGCCATTTGTAAGCATATCTAATTCATAATATTTTTGTTATCATTGCATCTTTCAGCAAGAAAGAAAAACACGAAGGAAGGTAGGAAAGGAGGGAAAGATGAAGGAAAGGAAGGGAGGGAAGGGGGAAGGAAGGAGGGAGGGAAGGGAGGAGGGAAGGGAGGGAGGGTGGGAGGGAGGGAAGGGAGAAGGAGACTCCCTGCTGATCAAGGAGCCCCTAGACAGTTTTAACACATAGTTATTTCCACAAAATGATTTAGGTGAGGTGAAAACATTCCTAACAATAGCCACCCTTTAGGGAGCAGGCTCTGCGCTGCACACATCACACACATTATTTTGTCCTCACATAACGGTGAAGAAACAGAGGTTCAGGGAAGTTAAGTGACACTCGGGAGGCACACATGGTAAAGCCAGAATTTGAATCCTAGATTTATCTGATTCTAGCCCCAATGGCCCAGTCATTTTTAGAATGTTGCATGCCATTTTTATTCTAAACAAATGATGGAAAGCCCTTCAGTATGATAGCTGTCTTGCTCCCTAATGTCCAAGTTTCCGGGATTAACCACCCATTGGGGGAACAATCACTCAACCAAGATGGACAGATGCCGAGCTCCCTCTGGATTCTAAGTCTGAGGTGTTCAGGAGGTCATAACCCCCATCAGACTCATGAGGGCTGTGACTCCCTGTGCTTAAGATCTGAAATGGACCACAGAGACAAGCCCGAGGGCTCCCTGGGAGGGGACATGCCCTAGGGCTCCCTGGGAGGGGTCATGGGCAGACCGGGGTTCTGGGCCGCTGGGTGAGGGCAGGAGAGCATAGGGAGGGACTGGCTCCAGTGACCAGAATGACTGGAGACCCCAACACGCCACACTTGAGATGCTGGCCACACAGTCCCATGGGGAGGCTTCATGGTGACCCTGAGCTGTGTCTGGGCAAGAGCCACTGAAGTCCAGAGAGCCCCCCTCAGCAATCTCTTTCTGACTGGGCCGTTGCTGTCCCCACCGCAGGCACTCAGGAGCACCTCCTGCAGGTCCTCCCCATATCCCCCCCCCCCCCCCCCAGCGATCTGAAGGCACAGGTCATTATTCCTCATCTCCTGCCTAACCTGGCTCCATGGCCCTCCACCTGCACACGACCCTTCCCACCCCAGGTCCCCGCCTTCCCCAGGTGCACACTGCCCACCTCTGTGCCTGTGCACTTGCTGTTTC